GCGTCAATCTGGGCATCACGCTCTGCATCGAGTGTTCGGGCATTCACAGGTACCCCTTCTCCGACTCGGCACCTGCGGGGGTCATATTCCCGTTTGGTGGAGAGGGAGGTTATCTAAAGAAAACCAAGTTAAAGTTTAATTTATTTCAACAGTAAAATATCAGCTGAAGGCTTACGAAGGCTTCCGCTTATTTTGGATATATCAGATGTTCTGTTTAGCCACCAAAAGATGAAGCACAAAACGTCATCTTTGCAAAGCAAATTGCAGTTCAGCGTTTTCAATCCTGAGAGAACCTGTCCTGTGAGGCTTGTCACTGGAAACTTGTTGCTTTTTTTTAGATAAAAAGAAACTGTAGTGTGCTCTATCTGCTCTCTACATATTTGGATGCTTGAAAACTGTTGCTGATGTCTCCTCTGCTAGACTCCTAGTCAGACACCTTGGGCTAATAATTAAGATTTATAACGGTGGCTGTCTCTTGTCACAGGAGCCTGGGGGTCCATCTATCCAAAGTGAGGTCACTGACTCTGGACACCTGGGAGCCTGAGCAGCTGAAGGTAATGGAGCTATTCATCTCAGCAGCCTTTAAGTAATTCATTTGTCTAATCATGAACACATTTCACAGTAATTGTAGGCTTTTTTCACTATCCATCAACCTTTATGAAAAATACAGGAGTCTGTAATAGTTAAGAAAGCAAAACTGACGTATTTCTTTAAGGGAATATTCCCAATACAGGCAATATTCCCAATGCATTTTGGGAAATAGGGACCAGAAATGTGGAATATATAGCAAACCAACATACAAAGGGGAGTTTATCCCTGTAAGAACAAAGTAAATATAAATAAATAACTTAAACTTTGCTCATGCGACTTAAAGAGAGAGGCTGTTCCCATGTAAGATTGTGTTCTTCACAATATTTTTAATTTCTGGAAGAAAATAATCCACAAAGAACCTATGTTCCTGAGTTTCGGTGCCTTGAAAAATAGCGTGGAATTGATACGTTGAATTCCACAATTCATCAACAGTGTATAGCTGGGCAACTTATAGCCGGGACTGCATGTATCTTTATTCGCCTTGGGGTTAAACAATGATAGTAAGTCGTCCTTATTTTTCCTGAAGTAGGGATGCCAAAAACTAGACATAAGGTTGACCTCTAGGCATGAACTGGTTTAGAAATGGCAAGTATCTCAGGTGAGAGTGTTGAAACTGGGATGGGGTGTGCTGAGTGCCCGTGTCCTGCTCTCTCTCCTCTCGTGCAGGTGGTGCGCGCCCTGGGCAACGACGCCATCAATCGGATCTACGAGTCACGTCAGGAGGAGGAGGGGAGAGTGAAGCCCGGCACCAGCAGCTCACGGTAAACAGCCATCTGAAACTCAATTTAATTTATTTTATATAGCGCCTTTCACAACAAGGTGGCCCCAAGGTGCTTAACAAAGCCAGTGACCATCCATGTTGTAAATGCAGAACAGAAAAGACCAGAAGACAACGGAGGGGAGGAACCAAAAACTCCTTAGTAAGGAGAAAAAAAACCTCTAGGGGTCCAAGGTCAACTGGCTGCCCAACCCCTTTGGGCACGCTAACATTATACAATTAAAAACAAAGGGAATAAATGAGTGAGGGTATTAATCCATCCATCATGTCTTCTGTATGTCAGTACTCCATGCAGAACTCAGTAGACCAGCAAAATCCTCCTAAACCATAGCTATATTCACGATGTCCCTCTTGGATCTATGGCAGTGATGCAGCATCCAAATCAGACATCCGGACATGTGGGGAGGAGAATAGGATAGTTTGGTCAGAACAGATGTATCTACCTGGTGGGCCAACACACAGACACACGGTGGCATGTACAGCTGCACCAGCAGCCATGGTTGCAGCAGGCTATGATGTAAGGAGTGAGTAGGCTAGGTTGAAGTAATAGGTTTACTGAAACTGCACCACCTTCTGCACTGGCTAAGCACTGGGACGTCCTTGATTGATGCAAGAAATGAAGCAGTGGCCTTTGGTAACGTCACTTGTCAAACACCTCTGAGCAGTGTGATAGTGATGTTGAGTTTCGGTCATGGCCCAGTCAACACCAGGTTGTTTAACTCGTTTCCAGACGATGGTTTTAGAATTAATCGATGGTATGCCCTTGGTAAGTTCCTTTGTATTCATGCTTTCAGATGTTTTGAGTGAGCAAGTATTACATTGTTTATGAGGTGCTTGTTGTCTCCAGTATAATAAGACATTTGTATATGTATTTCATTCAGTGTTTTTATTATTTTGCAAGTCTTTTCTTTGCAGGCCAGCAGCATTTCAAAATGCTTTCCAGAGCCCGAGATGTTCAGGAGATTCAGAGTGTTGCTCTCTCTTTCAGGCAGGAGAAGGAGGCCTGGATCAAGGAGAAATATGTGGAGAAGCGGTTTGTCAGGAGAGCTGTTTCCGCAACCTCAGGTAGGCTGAAAACATTGATGCTGTTTAGTTCATAAAGTCTTTACTTCATTTACAAATCTCATATTCTTTTCTGAAACTATTTAGCAATAAGACAGTTTGGTTATCTGATGGGAGAAGATTTATATTACTTAGCCATGTTGTCTCTTGATAGAAGTGTACCAGAAACAGTGTTGCCACTTTGTAGCACACTCTCTTCAGATCTCAAAAGTTAAGCAGGGCAGAGCTGGTCAGTAGTGGCATGGGAGACCCCTAAGGAAAACCATGTTCCTGCTGTGAGTGGCATCAGTGGACCAGTAGGGGGCGCTCTTCCCCTTGACCAGAATTTCCCATCCAGTGACCCAGCCTTGGGGGGCAGGAGCACTGTGGTGTAGAGATTCTGTCCTATGGATAAGCCTTTGACTTGATCTGTTTAATCCCTACAGATTTTGAGCCACTTTTTGGAAGATTATTGGTGCTATCCCTGATGGCCTGGTGAAATTCCACTCTGGCTTCTATAATATTTCCTCCCTAACATTCCCACTAAATTCAATTAATGAAGTAAATTGTCACTTTTCCACCTGATCGCCTGAGTAGTGGGGCTGCTGGTACATTATGGCTGCTGTGTTTTACCAGGTGGATGCTGAACTCCAGTTATAGGCCAGTGGGTCCCCTCATGTATGTGGAGCCCTCTGAGATCCTTTGTGATGAAATGTGCTGTATACATGCAATTAATTACGTTTTTGAAAAATGATGAGGGTGACGGTACTCCTCCTTTAATTGCTTTCACTGAAACAGCATTACAAATGTTTGTTATTCTCTGGTTTCAACCGAGCCTTCTTCTGCTATACCTGAAAGCTCTGGAATTCTGCCCCTAGGGATATCAGAGAGTCAGCTTCCCTCAGTTCTTTCATATATAGACTCAAAACCTTCTTTTTTAGACGGGCTTTTATTTAACTGGTTCTGTGTCTGCCCCTTTGCTTTCCTTCTGTATTCCAAACCCTCACTGTAACTGTTCAATTCTCCTATCTCCTTTAACTGTACAGTATATCTTTTTTTTCTGTAAAGAGTTTGAGTAGCCACTTTTAAAGGAGCTATATGAAATGAAGTTTATTATTCTTAATTAAAATGGTATTTTTGAAAAGCTGTTTATACAGATTGATTATTTTTGGCCATCTTCACTCAATTCAAGTACAATAATGGAGAACCTGGCAATTTTTGTGTAACTTGAGCTCAGCATTGGGTTATCCCAAGGACCAGCACTAACCAGTGCTAGTGCAGTACACACTATCAACAAACACACCCATTCACTATGTAAAGTAACGTTATGTGTTTATGTGCGTTTTCATTTTGCATCAGTACTTAGTTTA